TTCCCCTGAATGCCAAAGTGAAGTTTTGTTACTTCGAGTAAGCCTTGGTTGTAATTAAGGTTACGCTGCAGAAGGCGCCCTAGGAGCAAACCCCTGTAGTATTTCTGGGAATGACTAGTGCCTGAGAATTCAAACTCGTCAATAGACTGTTATGGTGTGCCACTTGATCTTTTCTCAGTTGAGTTTCTCAGTTCAGACCTGTATTCTTTGCGCATTTTGTGAGTTGAGTGTGTTGTTCACCGCGTGTGAGTGACTTCGGTTTGACGAAGATACCGCATCCGAAGTAGGAAGTCCAAACTGGGTGCCCTGCGCTAGCAGAAACTAGTGGAAGGGTTGTAAAAGCCGGAGTTGGGAGTCACTACCTGCAGAGCCTCTGAATGTACTCTTGAGAAACTTTCCCCCTGAAATCTTAAGTAGAGGTCCTAACCGACCTCTTAGTTGTGCTTTTCCAGTTTCAGGTGTGTGTTGAGTGAACTACGCTATACTGTGCATCCTCCAAGTCACCTCCGAGTTGAGCACTTGCAGTATTTCTGGGAGTGAGTCGCCTGAGAATTCAAACTCTTCAATAGTCTGTTAAACGTGACACTTTGTACTCTGTGTGTTGCCTCTGTCCTTGTGAGTTCGACCTTTTTGCTGCTATACTGCAATTTTAGCCTTTGGTGGGTTATTACAAGAGTTGCCTCCAATGGATGACTACCATAAGTTTGTTAAAGACTATATTGTGGAGATTGATGCATGGAGTCGTCATCGGTCTCCCAGCTATCTATTCATTATCCAAAGTGAAGTTGGTACCAGTGGAAGTGCAAGTGGTGCTATTACCAGTGGAAGTGCAAGTCGAAGCACTAGTGGAGGTACTAGTGAAGACCCAAGGAGCAAAACTGGTGGAGCTGGTGATGAAGGTACTAGGCACAATACTGATGGAGCAGCTAGTGAAGGTACTAGGAGCGGTACTAGCGGACGTACTTGTGGTGCGTCCTAGTGAAAACACTAGCAGTGGTACTAGGAGCACCGCCGTTAGCAGCTTGGATTAAATTGCTAGTGGCGTGCCTACATTTAGCTCGATTGCGAAGTTCTTCAAGAGGTTGAGGAAGAACTACCAAAGGGTGAAGACTGAGAAGTTGAATAGTCTTCAAGAGTTTGAACGAAACATTGATGAGAGTATTTGAGAGTCATGCTCTTGTATGTGACGTTTGATTTCACTTATTCATGGTTTGACTAATACATAGGCTATTCAATATTGGTTTCAAATTCTGGACAAAGATTTATTGAGAATGATACATGATGCTATCCTCATGAGCGATACGTCATTCATATTAGCTCATGTGTTCGCTCTGTTTGAGAAAATTGAGTTTTACAAAGTGGATAAGAGGGATTTTTTTTAGTAAGGATATGCCCATTACTTTTTGTGTTAAGCAGAACAATGCATAGTTTCGTCCCATTGGTGGTGGTAGTAGTGAGAGTCGTAGAGTTCCGACACGACATCCGTCTGGTCAACAGCAAGAACAGCATGTTGGACATGTGGAGCTAATCATATGAAGAAGGATTGTCCTCAAGGTGACGGTTGACGAGGTTCACTCATCTCTTTATCTCTATTCCATTTGGAGCATTAAGTTACTAAATGTTCAACACATTAGAAAGGAATCAAGCGAATGAATTCTCAGCCCATAGCTTTCCAAATTGATAGTTATTTACCACACTATTCAGATCATGTCATCGTCTTCTCATTCTTTCAAAGTTTCAGCTCTAGATTTTGATTCTTCCTTGTTTCTTTCAATCCTGGATCCAAATTTAATGTCCTCATCTCTAGATTGTACCGCAAATTGCTCCGATTCAGGTTTGCTATCTGCAACCTTATATTCTGGCAAAGGCTTTTCCACGCTTTTTTTTGTCTTCACTTTCATTTCCTAAATCCACAAAAAGTAGCGGATGAGGAGAAGCCCTCTTCTGTGGATATCTGTCACCTTGAGGCATCTGATTAGCAACTACAAACTGAATTTGATTTTGTGCCCTTTCGATCGTTGTTCTTTGGGACGCTTCACCTTGTGAAGATCGTAGCCCTCTCTTCATCTGATCCATGACAGAACTTCACATTTCATTGCTCTAATCTATCTTATTCTAAAAAGATAGTTATCTAATTGAAAATCTGTACTACTCTTTTTAACAACGGACTCATAACTCAAAAAAGATATTTTTGTATAAAACAAGAGTGAATGTTGAACAAATAGGAGATCTATCATTGCAATATTAGTTGTTTTTTCAAACACCTCCATCTTCTTTCAAGAACTAAATGTTATTATCACAATCTTGCTATTCCATAAGGAATATCCACATTCCACGCAAGAGTAATGAAGTGTTGTGAAAAGTCACTTGACACATAATTTAGACGTGAAAAGACGCACATGGTACATCTTTTTGGCTACGTTCACGTTAACACAGAGATAAAATATTGTTGGAATTAATTAGTAGAAATCTGAAAACTTAAAAAAATTTGTACATTGATATGATTCAATTTAATAAGTTTTGATCGCTGAACGATAGTTCAAAATAAATTTATATTACTATTTGAAAAACTGCATTCATTGTTATAGGAATTGTGAATTATCATTTTTGCTGTAAATATTTGTCATTCGGTATAGGTTCATGAAATCAATTTTCAATAAATCTTTTTGAAAAATTAGTTTGATTTTGACATTACAAAGAGATTTTTAAACAAAGTTTTGCAAACTGCTTTATGATATATTAAATGATTCAAGATTGAAATTGGTTTTAAATTTTTTTGTCAACACCAGGAATACATAATTGAATTATCTTTGAACTTGAATCACGGATGAAATTTCTCTTACCTACACTTACAGCATTCACATGAAGAAATTTCAACAATCTTAAACAATCATATAATGATAATAAAAGAATTTTACGTAATTCATAGTCATTCAAAACCTTATATATATTTCAAAGTACTTATTTTAACCCTATCTTTCCTTCATATTGAGCCAAGAAATTGAACTTGATATGCATCACATACTTCCCTTTCTCTTTCTTGTAACTTTGGCCATTTTACAGGCTATAGCTGTAAAATAGCATCCAATGAACTAGTATAGACTTTTCATCTTATCACCAGATACTTTATCATTTGGCCCAAATTATTTTCACGCAACTACACAATGCGTCATCGCCATGCTAGAAATATCCCTGCCAAGCTTTTTGATCTTTGCAATCATCACTCCACCCAATCTGGCTTGGACAACTATAACAGATGCATTTCTTTTCGCAGTTTCTGAGAAATGGTAGGCAAAACGCTTGTCACTGATTTCTTCAAGAGTGTTATAAATCTCGTAGATTTGTCTCGCGAGATGCGCAGTTACTCTTACAAAACTCGATGCAAAAACTACCTTCTTTTTTAACTAGACCTTGATCTTGATTACTGTTTCTGCCCGTCAATCCAAACAACCAAATTGCCTATCACTACTAAGAAAATCAAGCTATATGGATTCGTCGGGTTTTATATCCTCCCGATATACCTTTTCTTCTCTAAACAAATAACTAACAAACGCCTAGACGATCTCCGTACGGTCCTGAATCGTCCATATGTTATTATACACTTGGTCAACATTAGAATCTCAAGCAAGAGAGCACAATCCAAAAAAAATCTGCAAAATAATGACAAATATGTCTAAACTGATGTGTGGTTCTTCAATGCACAAGCTTCGTGGTTTCCACTATCGTTGTAATATATGGGAAGAAAAAAATACAAGTTTTGGAGGGTAGCATATAATTGCGATATATGCACTACTTCTCAAACAGAACAACTTTCAAAATAACTGAAGTCAAAATGTGATATATGAATCACTTGTATGAAACAAGCATTTCATTGTTATCACATGCTCTCAAAACTAGAACTTGAAGTGGCCAACACACTTACAGGTGTAGGGTTAATACCTTGTTAGCAAATAGAGTAATTAAGTCCATGTTGTTGTTATAAGTCTAAAGCATGTACATTATCTCAATGTGAACCCTGTCACTTCAAGATATATGCACATTCTAAAACAATGTGCATGGACAGATCCGGACACAATGACGACTAAAGTTTACAGTCGTCTCTGACCACTCGAAAAGGTAAATAAAGCGAGCCACCGCCACGGGAACTAGCGACCATTGCACTTTTGCCAGGGACGATAAGCGAGAGTGAAATCGGCCTTCGTCGATTACGGATTCACTTAATTTAGAGGCTTGACGGCAACGCCGCTAGTAGAACCTTGGCACAGCATGCATGCTGGCCCTGATGACGTTCCTGGATGACTCATCCAGGAACGTCATCAAATATTTAAAAAATTCGCGGTAAAAAATTGACCAATGGGGTATCTTCGAGCTAGTTTCGTGATTTGGAGGTTCAACAGAAGTCAACATTTGACCTTCGGTAGGAAATGGACCGAACGGCATCAACTTGACTCCGTCCAGGAACGCTGAGGAACGTCTTCTCCAGTCATTTGGATTCCTTTTGAAGCAGAGAATCTTTCCCAGAAATTGTAGCATGAGTAGTAGGACATGTGCAACTGAAACGAGGTCTCTCAGGGGGTCGGTTCGAGTTCAGCGGTCTGCAGCACGCGCGATAAATTATGTCTGGTTTAATCGGAAATATCAGATGATCGTGGATCTTGCGAATTCAAAGAGCAATTAGATCTCATCGTGCATGACGGGAAAGTGTTTGTGTATCGTTGAAGGCTCATGCAGATGGCAATCTGTTCAAGAAAAAACTTCCTTGCGAGAGGTTTGTTGCCTTTTGGCTGTTTGTTACATTCACTTTGCGATTTTTCAAAACAACCCACAGCAGCATAAAAAAATCAAAAGAATACTTAGAGCAAAACCAATTTTATCAAACATGTCGGAGAAGTTGACTCGCTGCTGCGTCTGTAAACTGCCTATCGGGTTATGTCTTGCGCCTCAAGTAATCACTCCTTATAGAGGCATGCATGCTCAGAATATAAATGAGCTATCATATCCCACACCAAACCGCAACAATCTTCACTCTGTGTTTGCGCATGTCCCAAACTTATCTCTTAGTCTCATTCGACTACAATTCAGATTTATTTCCGCATTCCAGGTTTTGAACACTGTCTGGTGGATTTTGAGTTCACGTCCAAGACTACTCCTGTTCGCTCTTAGTGCACAACGCAGACGGCGAGGACGGATCTCTCCCACAACCACCGCAATATATCGGCGATGAAGCTTCTTGCTGCTATGATCCTTGCAGCTGGACTGCTGTCAGCTGTCCACATTGTCCATGCAGCGGATCCTGACCCACTGCAGGATTTCTGCATTGCAGACATTGCTGCCGGACCAGTTTCAAATGGTTTCCCTTGCAAGTTGCCTGCACTTGCTTCTACAGACGACTTTGCATTTTCTGGGCTTGCTGAAGCTGCAGATCCCAGCGTATCTGCTACCAACGGAACTGCAACCCTCGCCTTCGTCAGACAATGGCCAGCTCTGAACACTCAGGGATTGTCTCTCATAAGACTCGATATCAATCCTGGTGGCGTCGTCAATCCCCATACACACAACTTGGCCACCGAGATTCTGTATGTTTTGGAGGGAGAGATGTATACGGGATTCGTCACCAACAACTTCGGAAACGACCCAACCATATCTAACAAGCTGTATGCAAAGGTCGTGAAGAAGGGAGAAGCTTTCATTTTTCCCAGAGGTCTGCTACACTTCCAGCTGAACAAGGGGAAGGTGCTTGCATCGAGTCTGAACGTCCTGAACAGTCAGAATCCTGGTATTCAGCTCATGCCTTTAGCTTTGTTCGGAAGTGGCATCGACCGTGAAATGCTGGAAAAGTCATTCTTCATGAATGCGACTCAAGTTGCTGCGTTGGAAAACATTTTCCAGTAGTGAAACGTAGAATTACTGAGGTGCCAGGAGAAATGTGAGATTTTCCTGGTCTTAAAGATAACCTGCGTGCTGGTGTAGATATTCCTAGGCTCAGTTACGGAGAATTATGTCCGACAGCCCATTTAATGTAGTTGGTTGATCAGCTTGGTACAACAATCATCGAACTCAGGTGCTGAACGTTGAGTTCATTCTTCACCGTTTGAAATTGTACTTTCGTTCTATACCTTTTTCATAAACACCGTGTACTCCAACTCACATTTACGTTGTCCTGAATTCTACGCATTGTGCTCATTCCGCGAAATATCCAACTTCACATTTTATTCTGATACCATTAGTAACGATTCATTTCGGCAGAGTTTTGACATGTACTTAGCTATGGGCAACAGAAAACGTTCATGAGACTTGAAATACAAAGCATGTGATTGGTGACAGCAGTGACATGTGTCAAGGTTGATTCGGGGACTTCTACGTCTTGATTACGAGGACAAACTGAATGCCTGAATCTGATTAGCAGGCTTGCCCTCGGAATGGAGCTGCAGAGGTGGATCTGTAATTCAGCTTCGTGTGATGACGTTCTCGTTCAATCACAAGCATCAAGAAGAATAAAGTTTAACCTTTCTAGAGGTGAAGTAAATCTACTCGTGCGTTATTAAAGTCTATTTCAACTAATGGTGCAAGGTCTGAAGTCCAAGCTAAAAAGCTTGGACTTCAGACACAGCAGGTAGAAAGCAGCGACCAGAAAAAGTACACTGGCTATATCGGTTTTATCGGTATTTTAAGAAAAAAATTTGATCCAACGAGTTGAGGCCTTACTCCTGAACATCTTGGGTGGAGACTCATACTAGCAAACTTGTGCGCATCCCGATCATCTTATTTCAGTAAACGCGTCATGATATACTTATACTTCCACTTCCAAACAGTTGAATTGCATTGACAGCTGCCAGATCATTTGAAGTCCAACCGCTGAACCAGGTTGCGAACCGAACCCGTTCCCTACTTTAGTCAAATGATTGGCAGGTCAAACATGGTCAAATCAACTTATGTACCAGGACCAATCCAGACAGAAGATATTATACGGACTTACACATTACAAACTTGTGTGTGACGGCGACAAAAGTAGCAAAGATTATGACTACATTTGTTAGCCGATGGTTCTCACCGATAAGTTCATGGATGAGACTGATAATTTTAGGTCTGATCATATTCAACCTATTCTTGTATCAGAGTGAAGCACAATTTTTCTGCTGTCACATCTCTTATCCCCAGCCAGTCAGAGATTGCGTAGCGAGGCTTCCGACAATAGAATTCGAGAAGTCGACCCAGAAGTTTCAGAGGTCCACAGTTCACTTTCCTCAGGACTTGAGCTCCACGTTAATCCAGACCGGGTACAGGAATCATGCTCCGATTCCCCGTATGCATCTAGGGTCGCATTTGGGTCAAACGTCAAAAGAATATGCTACGCACGAAACATTCCCACAGAGCTTGGATTCGGCCGGCAACGAAAACAGCGATAGATATAAGACATTTAAGGACAACACTGTTCGCTATGGTCGATTGATATTTGTTTTGTCCTCTCCAGGTTTTGAAGAGTAACTGCATTTGTATAGTGACTATCTTCGAAATTAATGGTATTTACATTTAGTATAATTTAAATTACTGTGAAGTAACTAAAACTTCATATCTTACAATAGAAGGATTAGAGGAGGTTCTTGACGCAAAGCAAACCCAACATGTGATATACTACATGCATATAAGCATACATGATCACATAAACATTGAACATCAAGAGAGATAGATAAATGGGTGCATGTGTTGTATCAACATCTTCCTCAAAGGCTAAGAAGGGTTTAATTTATAATATACAATATATTATGGGGCCATGCTATGATTACAGTGCAACTTTGACAGCCTAAATAAAAAAAGATTACAATAAAACATCTCAAAGGAAGATGGAGCACCTAAAATGCCATTTTTTATACAAATACCAAAGTCTTGATATAGAGAGGGCTGTGAGCACATTATTCAAGCTAGTGATATGAAAATCAAAACGAAAAATGGCTCATGAGCCAATCTGTAGCCACAATAGGCACTGAGGCAACAGTAGGATATACATTCTTGTGTAGCAATTATAGGATCCAACCACCTCAACCTCAAAGCAATATTCTACCTAATGTATAGTGTTTAATGAATGTGATACATCAAATTATCTGATTCGAGCGGCTAAAATAATATATGGAAATATTTTGACATCATCAAGAGTTGCAGAGTAGACATACCTGAAATGAAAAAAAAAAAAGTGCCTGAAAAATCTCAATCCCTGAACCCTAAAGAATTTCAAGCATAACAACAAGACACGTCATCTACACCTTCTCTTTATCTCATATAGATAAATATATGGCTAAACGAAGAAACTTACAATCAACAAGGAGGAGGAATCGTCAAGAGGCAGCGAAGGCATTTTAATTTCAGCTAACATGAAATATGGCAAGGCTAAATGCTATCATCACCCTCACGTAGTTTCTGGATGAAATGAATTTTGAAAAACAGTTAACCCGCGCATTGATATGCAAAAAACCTAGGTATTTGAGGCGGATGATGTACTTGGTGAAGCATGACCTTGGAGCCTTACAAATTAAAATATTTAAATCTGCAATAGACAAACTGATTTGCTTCTCATTGGTTCGCTACAGTAATATAGTCAACAACATAATAAAAGATACAAACATTCGATATATATAAGAATAAAGCTCAATTGTCACAACTAGGAAAGTCAATAATCAAGGAAGAGGCTTGAAGGCCTTTCTGAAGTAATTAAATCTTGCTCTTATTCATAGAATGGAGAGGTATTTCTCTTTATTAGATAATAGAAAACTTATATGTAGCATAAATTTCAAAAGTGGTACAAATGATCATCTTCATCACATAGAGATAACTATGGAGAAGTGGAAAGCACATCATTAAACTAATGTTATGAAAATGCGAAAGATTTTTTGATGGCATAAGCTGAATAATATGTTTTCCATATAAATAAATATTGTTTGCTATGAAAACATTTCTGTGAATTAACTTATTTTTATTGATTTAAAAATATTAGTTAAATTAAAGATAGAAAATTATATGGATGTTATTTTTGAGATTAAATGCATAAAAATTCTATTCTGGATTTCAGATATCTTATAAAATTGAATTTGAATGTGATATTATAATTTTAAGTCTTAATACATTATTTTTTTAAATATCTCATTCACAAGTAACAACACTAGAGTATATAAAGCTGCATAAACAATTTTTTATTCCAGAAGAGGGTTTCTTACCTGATTTCAACTATCCTTCTGCATTTTCTAGTGTGAATGCGTTTGTAACTATTTGGTGAAGAACAACTCATATGCCATTGAATCATTTGCAGTATTGAGATTAGATACACATCCTGTTTTTATGAGTGTGATCTATTTTACGGTAGGGGAGGATACATACCTATGAAGGATGGATCGAGAAGCATTGATTTATGTTACAATTGACTTGGATTGGATAGAGACATACTTATATTCGATTGGAAGCTTTATATTACTTTTGAGTATGAGAGATGGCTTTTCGAATATTAATTCTGCTTCTGATGCTTAGTTTTTGACCTATTTGAAGACATTACTAAGCTCAAATTATTTTATGATAAAATTACAAGTATGTATGAATAAGACAACATTAAGATCACAGAAAAATTTCATGCATAAAATGAAAATACTTGTATGATATTATGCGATGTTGTAAATCAAGTATGTACCATTTAGGTCTCATTTTTATGATCATACAGGAATGATCATGAAATTATTACAAAAACTAAATTGAAATGTAAATCATGTCATTTGATTTAAATATCAAGAAGTATATTAAATTTCTCATTATCAGTTGTTCTCATTCATTTGCTTGTTTAACTCGCTGAGAACAATGTAATACGACTTACGTAAATGCATAAGGCATGTTGCTACTTCCCAAAAAAAACTAATATAAATATATATGATCTATCAAAGGCATAAATCGTAATATAAGAAACTTTAATCTTAAACAGCAAGAAATCTCAAATCTGAAGAGACATTAGGAACTATTCAAACTGAATTACTACACTCTTTCTTCACAGAGCATTGCTTATAGAACAAGTTCCTCATTCAAGTATTCAGTCCAGGTGTTTTGATTGCAGACACTTTCATAAATGAAATCCTCTATGTGAATGCGCTTGTCCAGTGAGCAATTAAAAGTTCAAAATTTAGGTAAATATGACAGCGACACGCCGAACTCTATAATTTATCCTCGATGTAGGCTCTTCAGCTTTTGTCACTACGCTTGTTGTGTAGAAACTGGTAAACGTGGTAAGTAGAGCAACGGAAGAGATCTAATCAAACCCAAGATATTTCCAGACCGTATATATAATCTGAATATATATATATATATTTCATGAAATTTCAGAAGTCACCAAATGCGACCTTCAACAACTGTCTCTAATCTGAATGTTGCCTGCTAAGATCGAGTTGCCTCGAAATTTCCAAAAACCAATTCAGGCGAATTGAGCTCTCAGTGCCTTGACTACATCACCAGATATGCCAAAAGAAATCTCGAGCACCTTATCAAAGATTGGCGCGGATGTATTGAACAGAGTATTCGGCAGACGAACCAGCCCTGCGTTGGAGCTGCTGAATGCGCCAAGTGCCGTCACGGTCTTGTACTTGTCATTGTTGATCTGGAAATGAACGAGGCCTTTGGGAAAAGCGAAGATGTCGCCCTTGTAGAGAGTGTTGGTGAAAAGTTTGTTCGTGGTATCGACCAAACCCACATCCAGAGTGCCTTCGATCATGAACAAAAGTTCCGTTCCACGAGGGTGAGTGTGGGGCGGGTTCACGGTGCCAGGAGGAAACTGAAGCAAAGCCATGGAAACACCGAGTCCATCGACTGCGAGAAATGGAGTCTTTGCTGGTGCAACCAGATTAGCTGTGGTGACAGTTGCAAAAGGTGAAGCCACGTTGGGCATGACGTTCCTCAAGGCCTCGCTGGTGAAGAACGTTCCATCGATGTCGGCTGCATTGATTCCTGCTGGGACCTGGAAATCCTTCGTGAGTTCTGGATCAGAGGCCTGCACGGACTGCAGGGTCAGAGCAACTGCAATGAAAACTAGCAGAGCGAATGAAGAATGTAAAAAACGACCCATTTCGTCGGTTGGTGACAAACTGCTTAAGATAACCCGTGCCTAAACCTCAGAAGATTTCGAAGAGTGTGAAAATGCTGCAGCCACTCGCTGAGCTTGAAAGCTTTTTTTTGGAATTTTGTGAAACACAGATTTGTGTTTCAGGGCTAGATCATCACTCTAGATATAAGAAAGTGGCTTGCTTCCTCAGAAATGATAGCGCGTCTTTATACTAGCACAAGACCATTCGTCTAATCCATGGTCTCGCAGTAGAAAGGCATCAACCAAGACCCAAGCTGCACTGTTCAATTCACGATGCATCAAAATCATGTCCAAATGGTACATGCATCAGCATAGTGTAAGAATAGGTTGACAAGTTCGTTGCCTTGACAAGTTCTACTTGGGACTCTCTTTCTTATTCTAAAGAATT